AGCAGCTGGAAAATTGTTATAATGCAGCTATATAGGAGTTATGTAAGGTTTGGGGCTTAGGGGTTTAGGGTTTAGGGCTTAGGGTTTAGGTCTTAAGGGTTCAGGATTTAGGGTAGTAATGTAGCTATATAGGATTCATAAGAGCTATAATCTAAACTCCTATCCCCCTTAATAATTTCTGTAGTAGTCCCCTCTATAGCCCCCTTTAAGGAGTTTAGACTACAGCTCATATGGGGTTTAGGGCTAGGGGTTTAGGTCTTAAGGGTTTAGGATTTAGGGTAATATGGCTACATAGAGCCCTAGAGAAGTCATGAAGGGTTTAGGGGGTTTAGGGTACCTGGACCCCTAAAGTATGTAGAATTATGGCCCTTTGGGCTGTTTTTTGGAGTTTAAGGCATTATTTTACATACTTTTGGGGTTTAGGGTAATATGGCTACATAAAGCCCTTAATATGACCCCTATGCCAGACTGTGAATTCGTGGGGGCAGGATCCCACCTAGAGGGTCCAAGTAAGCAATTAAAGGGGTTTAGGATTTAGGTTTTGGGGTTTAGGGTTTAGGGTGAGCCTCAAGTCAGCGCATACCAAGACTTGAATGTCCCCAAACCCATGGCCCAAAGCCTTAAACCCTGTGACATACCCCTAACATCTACACCCCAAACCCACCCCCTCCTTATACCACCACCCCTAGGTTCCCCTTACATAAGGTTATGCAAAATTCGAGTACATCCCCGATTCTGCATTCAACAACTACGAAGCCAATAGGCGAGCGTGGAAAACAGAAAGCTGCACCATGAAAGGGTTTGCGGCGTCGGGTCGAGATTTAGGGTATAGGGTTTTGGATTCAGGATTCAGGATGTGGGATTTAGGGTTCAGGGTTTGATGTTGAGGGTTTAAGGCTTGGGGTTTGAGACTTAGAGGTTAGAGCTTGAGGTTTGGGATGTAGACTTCAATGCTTATAAAGTATGGAGTCAGGATTCGGGTTTAAAGTGAAAGCCATTCACAAGATAGCAGAGAGGGCAGAAGTGCGTCAGGCAAAAATAGCCTTGGAAAAAACCCAAAGCCTCAATTCGCAACCACCGACAAGGCTACCCAAAGAAGCTCTAGCTACAAATATATCTAAAGCCACACAGTTTAGGGTGGGGCAAGGGTTGCAGCTCTTATAGGGGTACGTCATTTTCGTTCCCAGGGTTCTATGGACTATAAAAGATACATACACATAGGGGTGCGCCTAAGCCCTAAATCCGAAACCCTACCCGTACTGCAGAATGGAAATATGTGGGGAAGGTGCTCATTATGATTAGACGGATGGGGGCGGAGCCCGAATTGCATAAAGCCTTGATCCCCCTACTCGACCCCACCCTGAAATGACAAGGTTTAGCGTTTAGATGCGTTTAGAGTCTAACAAAAAAATATTGAACGGCCAAAAAAAAAGCACAGTAAAGACTACTTCCCTTCTGTAAAAAAGGCGGCCTCACATCGGCTATGGTCTAAACTCCTAGCATTTACCTTAATAACCCGAAAAGTAATCCCGTAAACAATCCCCTATATAAGCTCCCTTTAAGGAGTTTAGACTATATGGCTGATGACTTAGGGAGGCGAGTACTTGCAAGGAAGACTCAATTGCCAACCCTTGGGCTGGTGACCCTAAACCCTACATAGGGTTTGGGTTTAGGGTTTATGGTCCTACTTGGAGGTTCATGGGACTTAGTAACTTAGTTAGTTTGGGGTTTAGATGTAAAGGGTCTAACTGGTTTCTAAGTCCCGTGAACCTCCAAGTCGCCCCCAGAGCTAAGCCCTACACCCCAAATACTCTGAACCAAGCTCCAAACTCTGAAAACCGAAACACCCACCCCCCCAAGCCCCAAACCTTGTTACATACACCAGCCTAAAACCCGCAACCCTTAACCATAAATTCCGACCTCAACTGTGGATGGAGAACATCTTGCAGCACGTTCTATAGCTTTTACATTTGGAGTTACTCAGATTTCCTCCATCCACCGTAAACACCCTTAACTCTAACCGCTTTAAAGCCTAAACGCCCTAAACCCTGTTCACGAAAGACCCAGAACGCCCTGAACCCTAAACGCCCTAAACCCTAAACCCTGAACCCTCAACCCGTAACTGCAAACCCTTAACCCTAAACACCCTAAAATCTGACCCCTCAATCCGACACCCAAACTCTAAACCTTGAATCCTATAGCCCCCCTTGAAGTAGATAGAATATGGGGTATATGGGGATCTTATTATAATATACCCAAAGCCAGATTCTATCTACTTAAGGGCGACTATAAACCCTAGCACCCTGAAACCCCTACAGCCTAGCGCCCTGATAGATCCCTGTATAGCCCATTGTCTAAACTGTCCCGCTTAATAACCCCTACAGTAGTCCTCTATACCCCCCTTTAAGGAGTTTGGACTATAGCTCATTTAACCCTAAAGCCTGAACACTGAACTTCTGAACCCTAAACCCTAAATTCTAAACCCTGAACCCTAAAGCCTAAACCCCCACTCGAGGAAAATTCCTTTGAATCCAGGAGCCACCCCCTGATCCATAACGCCTGCTCGCTGAGGTATTCATTCCTTGAATCTTGAGGGTGTTTAGGGGTTTTAGGGTTTAGGGTTCAGGGTGTTCGGGGTTGAGGGTGGTTGAAGGGTATGAGGGCGTTTTGAGGCTTAAGGCTTAGGATGTTTGGGTTTAGAGCTTACCCCAAACCCTAGTGCCGGTATGAATCAGAGGTGTTGGGCTTCGGCTCTGGTGCTTACAGCTCTGGACATCAGATGCCCTATAGTCTAAACTCCTAGCATCCCCCGTAATGGCCCCTATTATCGGGTTTGAGGCTCAGGGTTTAGAGAATAGGGCTTAGGATTTAGGGTCTAAACTCCTAGTATCCCTCTAAATAACACCTATATAACCCCTCTGCTAGAAAAGCACCCAAGCTTCGAAACACCCTTTCAACAAATATATCGACGGAACCCTTATTGCTATCCACCCATAATCCCACGTTGTATGGAAATACGGGTTTTTTCATTCTCAAACTAAATAGAATTATGCTTCTCTTATAAGATATGATACAAAGATGACAAGAAGACTTTCTGTCAAGGCCTAGAACAACCCATGCAAAATCATGACCCTGGACCCCAAACCCTAAGCCCTAATAAAATCCCATGGAAGATCAGCCCTATACTCTGAAGGCTACTCCCTAAACCCAAGCAAACTGGAAAACCGCTGCTTAAACGACTCGGTTGCTGTTAACGAACTTAATTCAAGTTACTATATTGAGGAAACCCTATTATTCACTATATATGTACCCATTATGGTAACTTAGCTTTAATTCCTTAAACCTAAACCCTAAATACAGCTATATACCCCTATATTATGGTAACTAAAATTAAATGCCTTAACAGCAACCCAGAAGAAAGCCCTAACCCTAAATCCTAAACCCGAGACCCTAACAAACTGGAAAGCCACGTGTCTTGGTTGGCCTTTGGAATCCTTTGAAAAATACTATATAGGGTCCTAAACCTGAAGCCCTAAACCCCTAAACCCCTAAACCCTAAACCCCTAAACAAGAAACGCCTAAACCCCAAACCCTAGACCCCTAAACCCCTAAACCCCAAAGGCCAACCCAGGTGTTAAATGACAGCCCATGGTTCGCCAACACCGGAACTTCGGGTCGCTCTTCGGTTGCTGCGAGGCGAAGAATTGGGGCTTCTGGGTTCTGTTAGGGCTTTAGGATGCGTTAGGGCTTTAGGGCTTTAGGGCTTTAGGGTTTAGGGTTTTGGTATGCATGCGGGGCTTAGGGTTTAAGGTTTAGGGTTTAAGCTTTTTAGGGTTTAGGGTTTGGGGCTTGGGGATCAGAGATGGCGGGTCCCTTTTGGTGGGCCTGGGCTTAGGGTTCCCCAGCGGCTCCCATTTAGCTCCTAAACCCTAAACTCTGAACCCATGCTTTGCAGAGGGTCACAACCTGTCCCCTGGAAATGACCAAATGTGAGCCTAGGGCAAGGTTGAGGCCCTGGATTGACTTTATAAGTTAAAGGGTTTATGGTTCAGGGTTTAGGATTTAGGGTTGAGTAGGATTTAGGATTTAGGGCTTAGGGTTTAGGATTCAAGGTTCCGGATTTAGGGTTTAGTATGATTTAGGATTTAGGGTTTAGGATTTAGGGGTTAGGATTTAGGGTTTAGGTCTGAAAAGCTTAGGGTTTGGGGTTTAGGGGTAGCAGTCGATGGGTACGGGTTAAGGGGCTTGGTCGCCTACAGTTTAGGGATAACAGTCTTTAATATGGGTAAGATAAAGGGCTATCGATAGTCAGAATATAGATGTTATCCAACCGAAGCCCTAAACTTCTAAACCCTAAACCCTAAGTGGGGGGCACCATCCAATCGAGCCGCAATGAAGCTAAATCACGCACTCCGAGTTTTGGATTTCAGCGGGGGCGCCCTCTGCCCGAGAGAGACCGAGCCCAACGCTCTAAACGCTAACGTAGAAGACTGAATGACTACCAACCGTATTTCCCCTTTATTTTTTGCATATCTACACACAGTATACTGTTTCCCAAGGCCCTGTTGATATTAGTTAGGCCCCATACACCACGAAATCCTCACAACATCCCATCACAAAATCGTCACAACATCCCATCTAAAAGCCCAGTCTCCACTTGATTGTCCATATTCCTTTCCAAAGGCCAGTCCACCGTTCTAGTTGTTTGGCCTTCAAGCCCTAAACTCTGACCCAAAACTTAAACCCTTTACCAAGCCTTGTGCGGGGTCACGGTCCAGTTTCTCATGCGAACCTGTTAGGACGTTGTGAAACAGACGCCCCATGGTGGAGGACGTTGCTTTGTCTGTCGCAGATCCCCATTCCTTATTCGTGGTTGCAGAAAAAAGGGGAAACTGGGAATCCCTTAATACATATCTGCACATATTGTTTGGGGGCCATGTTCAACATCAGAGGTGGGAGAGGGTGTTTAATATTTGTATGAGGAGATGATATAGATTATGTCATTGGGGTTTTACGGTTGAGGGCCAGTTGGAAGCGACTACTATGGCGATGCAAACATCTTTACCACTACTTCCTGACCACCAGCAAGATTCCGCGTGGTAGAACTCGGTTCCTTGTGAGTACTTGGCCCCGCCTGAGGCAAGGACATACATTCCTTGCCCCTTCTGCTTGCCGTGGAATATTACATCATGCTCCAGAAGGTAAAGTTCACTGGCGGCTTTGTTGCACAACTGCAGTTCCATAGTGGGGTTTGCAGCGCCGATCTCAAGAAAGAAGGGATGGCAAGCCAGCGTCTGCGCCCGCGCCTCGCTGCTTAAGGTTTAAGCTGTAAGGGTTGGGGGTTCAGGGGCTTAGGGTTTAAGGTTTAAGCTTTAGGGTTAAGGTTTTAGGGTTTGAGGCCTGGGTTTTAAGGTGTAGGGTTTAAGGTTTAGGGTCCAGGCCTCATGGAAAAGCTCCCTGACAAGGCTCTCAGGAAGCGTGAGCAAGAATTGCATGTGGTCCTGGATGCAACATGATGCAACAAGAAACCCTAAACCCTACCCCTAAACCCTAAACCCTGGTGGAGGGTTTTTTTTCAAAGGTTTGGCTCCACCTTTTTTTTTCGAAGGTTTGGCTCGACCCCCCCTCTCGTTTCCTTGTAGCTGTCATCATTTTTGGACTCTT